TAATATATATATATATATATATATATATATAGTAATTATTGTACTATAACTATAGTAACTATAGTAACTATATATAAAGTACTATTACTATATATATATATATATACTATGATAATTTTTGACATTACATAAATTTGATTTAATGCATAAATATAATATTTATTTTTTTTATTATATTATATTTAATATTATTTTATGTTTTATATTTTACATTTTATATTTAATTTTTATATTTTGTATTTTATATTTTATATGTTTTATTTATATTTATATAATTTATATATTATCGTTTTATAATATTACAAATATTAGATTTTTCTAAATTCTAAATTTATTATTAGATCATATTCCTTTACAATGTCACTGTATATATATATTTTTGATATAAACGTGAAACGAAAGATCGAATTGCGCCTGTCGATAGGCAATTTACCGTACACAAACAACATCACCTTTTACTCTCTCTCTCTCTCTCTCTCTCACTCTCTTGGTGATAGTAAAAGTAAATTTATCAATAACATTCCCATATACCATGAAAAAATAAAAATAAAAATAAAAAAAATAACAATACACATAGAAAGTACTTCAAGGTAAAAAAAAAAACCCAACCTACAAAAACATTACAATTTTTATCAAACTCCAAAAAAGAATTTTCCGAATTTTAGATAAAATCTTTCGAAGTGTTGAAACGCCCCCACCCCACCCCACCCCACCCTAAAAAAACGTGGACCCTTTTTTTTTTCTTGCACGAATCGTTATCAAGTTTCTAGACGAAGTCAGAAGGACACTCATCGATTCCTTTCTGTGCGTCGAACTTTAAATGTGTGTCCTGTATACATATATATATATACTCGTTCGTATTACACGCACGAAAAACCAAGAAAGAAAGGAAAAGCAAGAAAGGAAAGAAAGAAAGAAAGAAAGAAAGAGAGAGAGAGAGAGAGAGAACAAATTTCGAGCTTTAGAACCAGACGGAAAATTCTTTGGCCAGATGCCAAAAAGACCTACTAGCATCCACCCCCATCCCTTTTCCATCCCTTTTCCCATCCCTCCTCTTGCGTGTCCCGACG